GAGAATTCCTTACCTGCTGTTTCTACTACCTACTAGATGTGAAAGGTTAAATGATTAACTGTTTAAATGATAAGTGCAATGATAACCAGTTAGCTTACTGGTTATCCTTTGGCTGCAGGTGGACAGTCTGGCATGGAAGAGGGGATGGGAAGCCCCACAGTGCCCTAGCAGGAATCAAAAGGCAGAGGACAGGCAGGAGGGAGGAGGATGGGAGGGAGAGAGGGACTAACACCTACAGCCTATGACTCACTGATTAAGCAATTAAGCTCCTTCACAGGTGCTCCCTCCTTCCCAGGGCAGGGCTACACATAGCCTGTGTTGCCTGCTGGGCTTGCTTCCTCCTTTCCTCCATCCAGTTAAATGAATCCAGGAGCCAGAGCAGCTCCCAGCAGCAGCTGCTGTGTTCTGGTTAATCTTTTAACTGATATAATTAGAGGTGATTTTTGGGCCAATACTGATGGCAGATTTTTAATGAGCCATATTGGCCAATACCGATCCAATTCCAATATATAGCCAGGCAGCATAGAAAGTGGCATCTGGCTGGTAAGTCTGTTGTGGGGGAAGGGGCGAGAGGGATGTGAAGGGCATGGGGAGGGCAGATCAAGGCCCCTATGGTGAGGGAAGAAGCAGAGCTAGGGTCGGGGCAGGCACTGCACAGGACAGAGCTACAACCAGCTAGTCAGGGGGCACAGAGGGGGGCAACTCCTGCCACTACATGCTTGCCAAGAGGGCATGGGGGGCATGTGCCCCCAGATCTGTGCACAGAGTGATAGCGGGCTGCCACTGGGGCAGCGCTGGGAGGGGACTATGGGGGGGACTGCAGCCAACCCAAAATTTGCCATAGCCCTCTCCCAGTACCACCACCACCCGCCCCAAGTGCAGCCCTAGCCCAGCTGCCAGCCAGGAGGAAGCTAGCACCACTCTGGCCTCACCCCACACTAAAATCTGGGGGCACATGCCCCCCATACCCTCCTGGGGTGCACACAGTGGCAGGAGAAGACCCACTTGGATGAGCCACTTGTGGCTCTGTCCCCAACTATGCCCTGGTTGTGTAGCACCTGCCCCTGCCACTGCCCCAGCCCCAGCCCCTCCCTCACCACTGGGATCTCAATCTGCTCCTCGCCCTAAGTCCCTTTCCTCACAACAGACTTACCAGTCAGACCCGGCTGCTCTCCATGCTGCCAGGATGCGCTCCTGGACGCCTGTGTGCTGCACTGTGGCTGCACGTGCACGGGGCATTTATAGGCCACATTACTGGCCACATCAGCCAAAAAAAGCCGATTACTAATACAGTCAATTTTCCTTATATTGGTGCCAATCGGATATGGGACCAATGTATCAGTGCACCTCTAGGTTAAACAAATATTTTTTAAACAATATTTACATCCCTAGTTTCTAGTGACCTCTTCTATACCCAGCCAAGTATTCTGGCTTTAGCAGAGTCTCAGAGTTCAGTCCAAGTAAATGGCAGTTTTCTTGAGAGTAAAAACATTAACCAAAGCATGGAAATAACTTCCTTATGTGAAAAGAAATCAAGGCACGGCAGAAAATACACAAAGATGACATATCTATGTAAAGTTCAGAAGCAAGAGGCCTAGCATTCCTTGTGAATACCGCCATTCATTAAGCAGTCTTTCAAATAATGAGACAATGGTACATCCTGTTTAGGAGGAACAAGTAGGAAAACTAACATTAAAATGAAAGGAACACAAACTACATGAACCATGCACAGTTCCAAGGGAACCTAATGGTCTTTTTCACAGTGAACTAATTATTAAAAGGAATTTGGGTGTTTTAACTCATCCACTAATGTACAAAATCCCAAGTGGTATGAAACACTCCCGTGTCACGGAAATCAGAGTATGGATTTTTTTACATACACACTTTGTAAAGTAAGCGTGCCTAAGTTCCATCACTAGTATTGTGTTCCCGCCCATCATCTCTTAATTTAGGCTTTCTCTACACTAAGAAGCATCTGGCAACTGAAAGCAGCCACTGCTAGAACATCAGTGCATCCACACAGCTTCTGGCAAAGACAGATACTAGAGGGACAGAAGTACCTGACAGAAGGCACAAGCATGTTGACTTTTTCCATCTGTGCGCTACTGGGTGGTGATCAGAGAGGTGGTTTTACTCTGCTGGCAGAGAGAAAGAGTTCTACCAAAGTAAATCAGTGTAAGTAAATCACCTTCATAATTTTACCAGCAGCACTTCACTTTTGATGGCAAAACTATGTTATAAAACAGAGGTGTATAATATATAACAGATATATTGGTCACATATCAGATTGGCATGGATAAAAGGAAAATTAACATTATTGGCTATCGGGGAGTTTTGTTGGCTGCTCTAGCCAATAATGTCACTAATAAATGCAGCGTGCATGCACGCAGCCACCATGCAGGTCGCCAGGAATGCAGCCCAGAAGCTTGGAGAACAGCGTCCTGCTAGTAAGTCTGTAGGGGTGAAGGGGCACGGGGGAGGGAATGGGCAGAGGAGGGCAGATCAAGGCCCCATGGTGAGGGAGGGAGCAGGGCAGAACAAGGGCCAGGCGCTGTCCAGCCAAGGCAGCGAATGGGACCCCGTGGTCAGGAGTGGGACGGAGCCACAGGCAACTCATCCAGGGGGCATGGGAAGGGGTGGGCAGCTCCCCGCCTCTGCGCAAAGCCCCAGGAGAGGCATGGGGTGCATGTGTCCCCCTGATTTGTGCATGATGCAGAGGCAGGTTGCCCACTGTGGGCTCAGGGCCAGGGCAGAGCTAGCCTCTTCC